CCCTTTAACTCAGAGGCAAATAGGTTGGACACAGCAGCTCCGACTTCCATTACAGCCACGCTGAATGTGGTCATTTTTTACCCTTTAAGTAGATGTGATTTCCTCAGTACTAAAATATAACTTTCTTTTTCTAAAACTGGCTGACCCTAGGTTATATAATAAAACAGAAATCACGGAACACTTATTCAGCACAATTTCTATTTTTGAGGACCTCATCAACTCATCTTTTAATTGTGTAAGAGAGTTGAAAACCTACTGCCTAATATGTGACAAGTTTAATAATCAAGAAAACAAACCAAAAGCATGGGATCTTAACTAAGAATTGATCAGAAAAATGACATAAATACATTAATTTATTTTCAGACTTGCTTTCCAATTAAGATATATGCCAGCAATAAATACATTCAAATGAACTTGAATTGTACTATTTTAATTGTACTAGAGTAGCTTTCTGGGTTCTTAGGACTAAATTCAATCACAGGACATCAGAACTCACGATATTTGAAAAAAATATTCAATAATTTAAAATTATGGGCTTTGAAGATATATTGCCTGGGTATGAAATATCAACTAAAATACACTGTACCTATGATTTACCCTTTAAAGTCAAAAGAAATCACTTGATTGTTGATATTGAAAATAGATGTCTTGATGTTTTTGTACATACAGTACAAATGTCTATTTTTAATTAAAGTCAATACAATATGTCAAGGTCTCCTAAGAATACTTTGAAAAAGGAGAAAATATGAACTTCATGAAATATTTAATATTTTGTGTGAAGCATTCTGTGTCACCTGTTAAAACTTGTATTAGTCACTGAATATTTTATTTAGTTAGCATTTAGATGATTCAGATGGGCTTCCTAAATAAGGGCTATTTTCATTATGTCCTGGCTCTACTCAACTCAAATAAGTTAGTCAAAATTAACAATCTCACCTGCAAACAAATCAGCCTGTCACACTGTCATCAAAACTGGAAGAAGAATGGAAGACATGTTCGAGACAGAGGGCTTGCTTGCTCACCCCACCTCATGGTTTTAGAGGATCAAATGAGATACAAACAGGGCCTGGGATGGAGTGCCTTTGGGAGCTAGCCTGGCTTTGATCCACCTATGGCACCGTCTTTCCCTGGCGTCCGAGTGTTTATTCCAGAAAGAGTCTACAGCGTGAGCGTCACACATGGTCTTGGGAAATCTCAGTTGTTTATTAGGGGCTGCAAACAAAGCCACCTGCCGTTTTCCTCACAGAGAAACAGAACAGTATTAGACACAAACAAATGTGCCCTGTCGCAGGAGGGAGATATCTCAGTCTTGTAAAATTTCTGCTCTAGAAACATCCTTGAAAACAGTTCCTGAATACACGGCAGTACCAGGCTGGTGTGAATTTTTTTTTTCCCCTACATCGTTAGGAATCACTGAATACAGGTGTATGGGCTTTTTTAAAATAAAAATATGAGAGATTCTTTAGGAAAACATCATCTGGAACTACCCCAACACTTTAAAAACACTTTTAGAATGAAAATTTTATCACCATCTTTCTGGTTATCTTTGTCAAAGCAGGAAAAAAATTTCACTTTGAGGTTTTTGAATAATCTTATTATTTTAGAAGTGTTCACAAAACTCCATACCTGATTGGTGTATTTTATGTATTAGCCAGGATAGTCTATACTGAATCATAATTTATGTCCACTGGGTACCGTCAGGGATGTCTGTTCATTATAGTTTTCAAGGACACAAGTAGTTGGAAGCAGCAATCACTATGTTGCCATGCTTGACAAAATACAATAAAATCTGGGAAGGTCTCACACTCCAAATTCACTCAAAATGCATTTCCAGAACCACTTAGTCGCTTGTAGCAGATCAGAGGAAGCAAGAGCAAAATTACCACACGCAGGGATGCGGAGCTGGCAATGGTTAGTGGAAAGGATTCGAGGGGACTAACTTATACCGTGGCTAGCAGAAATAAGAATCAACATATAAGAAGTCATTAGTAAAATAGTCATAGAGAACTATCCCAATATGAGTCAATGCAAACATGTGAAGAGTGGGAAATTATCAACATTTTTAGAACAGACTGAGGTTAATAGTTTTCTCGTTGCCTGTTGTGTTAGACATATATGCTTGAGTAGCGTTCATATGAATCCTTCGGGGAAATAATCTAGGTATTTCCTCTTTCTGACATCAAACACTTCCTTTGTAAAGGACCGTTACTAAACTGGACTAAAACTTTTTAGTATTTCATGTAGTTTAAGCATTCTTATTAAACTGGGTTCAAATTTAAGTACTCCAAACTCTGTGCTGGTAGTGGACATTTTGAAAGTGGCTTCCCAAGTAATTGTGATAGGTAGGATTGCCTGAGAATAAATATCATGGGTTATTTTCAACCGGTAACAAATAGTAATTATCTACTTGTGTATATTAAAAAAGAAAACAGTAGGAACAGTACTGACAACAATATAATACATTCACCTTATTAATGACTACAGATTAACGCAATGACAATTTTGGAGGAAATAATTTTAGAAATCAGACATATGGTGTCTCTGTACTTGTCAGCCATGGATAGTTGATAAAGCAATTTGGAAAACAATGCCAAGCTAGACAACATACCTATTGACATTTTCTAACTGTAACCCCTACCTTGGCACAAGAGATTAGGAAAATTATAAAAAAGAATTCCTTTAGTGATTTTCAAAAGAAGTGATCCATACTGAATATTAGTTGTCCAAAGATCAGAGATTTCTATGGATTAGTAACTTTTCCCTACTGGGTGCTCTATCAAAGAGAAATCCAAAAAGAACCAAGTAACACGTATCAGCTTTTCATAATGTATAGAATAAAAAACCATATATTTTAATAGCATTGTTCCTGCTTGAAGCTAATACAGAGCATATTACAAAATGGTCATGCGTAAGGGACATATCCGTATAAGTTCAGAAATTCAATTGGTCAAATCCTGTGAGGTAGTGTTACTATGGCCCCGGGGCCACGCATGCCTGTGTACTCTGAGTACTCAAATACAGATACTGTATTTACTATAGCATTGTGAAAATAAGTGCTGACTATACACCTTTCTTGCCACATCGATTAGAAATTCAAATATCTCTTAAAGTTTCAAAAATACATCATACAAGTATGCATATTCATTCTCAAGTGGGAAACAGACCTTAAATAAAAATAAATAAATAAAAATGTAGGTACAGAAACGTCACTGCAGCATAATTTATTTTTGCGCTTAACTTACACAAGAACTTGAAATAAATGAAGACCACTACATGATGTCGGTGAGCAACTTTCCCAGCCCTACTTTCTTTCCTCTTTGAACGTGCATGCTAACGGACAAGAGGGATTAGATGCAGTCTACTTTTTCTTCACTTGGCTGATTTCGTAGAGAATTATAAACCATGAAATGAAATTGAGTAAATGTTGGAAGTTTGTTGCAAGCAGCACCTTGAGTCAAAAAAAAGGAGACAGAGGGTAACTGGAGGCATGTACTCGGAACCAATAAAGAGAGCATTTGCCTAGACATTGGCTGTTGCATGCCTATGTCCATATACTATATGTACATATATAATCTACAGGCTGCCATTCATAGTGGTAGTAAATGGTCACAGAAGAGGAGGAGGATAAGGCCGCAATAAAGCCTTTGAAAAGCTTACTTTATTTTATGTGTATAAGTATTTGCCTGGATGTATGTGCCTGGTGCCAAGGAGGTCAGAAGAAGACAAAACACCCTGAAACTGGAGTACAGATGGCTGTGAGCCACCTTGTGGGTACTGGGACCCGAACACCGGACCTGTGTCAGAACAAATGTTCTGAACTTCTGAGTCGTTTCTCCATCCCTTAACTCCCCCCACCCCGCCCCCGAACATCGGACAAGCAGCTGGTTCCCTTCCCCAATACACTTGCCGTCGCTCTAGTATTTCATGCTTCCAAACCTTTCTTAGGAGAAATTACCAAAGCTTTTATTTTCCTAGCAACTAGAACATCCTCTTACCTATAAGCCCTTTCTAAATGCCTGCTTCCCTTCCTCCCCGCTCTTTCACTCTCAAAGAAGACAAGACGAGTTGTTTGCCAATATGCTTTCTCTCTAAATTTAGTTTCTATTTGCACACCTGAGGGGGAGAGGTCCTTCTGCCATGACTTTATTAGGAAAGAGTCAAGTTTTAATTCATATAGTAAGATAATTAGTGTCTTCCCACCCTGCTAAATGCAAATTTGGGCCTTCTGTGGCTTATCTGTTAAGAGGGAATCATTAAACTGCCTTATTTCATACATAAAGCAGCCCCCATAACTTTCTTTGACTCTTCTATCTCAGAACTTAAAAAAGAATGCGGAATTCTTCAAACGAGCTCTTCAAATACAAAAGTGTGGGAAGGAAAAGATCAAAGAACAGCAATGAGCAGTCTAACCTAATAAGCTCTATTGATCGGGAAGCTGTGCATCTTCTCCATCTGAAAGCACAGTGATGAGAACCAGCGTGGTTGACCTTAAACGCTTCGCAGCTGTGATTGGCTCATACGGAAAGCAAACAGAACAGGAGGCATGCCAAGCACTGCCACGGGACCTCTGCTGGCCTGTCTGGTAAACGGTTTTGTTCGGCAGAGCCAAGAGGATCGAAATGACTGAAATGTTTTAATGAATGAGAAAGAAGTAAGGGAGATTAACTTGTCCCCACCATCTCTAAGCAGTAAAAGCATCGGACTAAATTAGCCTGTCAACATGTGCTCCGGCCAAAACTACGCTTTTAGGATATGTGCAGAAGACAAGAGCTGACAGCCCAAACGTAGCCCATGACAACCAGCAGTCAAACTATATAAGGTTTTAAGCACATATTCTAACACTTAAAGGTATTGACAGCTCTTCATTGACGTTCACTCAGAACTTTACTTACTCCCTTTTCAGATAGAACACGGCATATTTCGTGCTCAGACATTTAGAAGTGTATTTCTTTCATAATCACTAGTAAATTGAGACAAACAAAAACACAGATCTAACTTACCGTAACCTCCTGTCACATTGGCGCATATCACAGCCCCAAAGAATTTCGGGTAATACTTCTGAATTCTTGAAATCACTTTCTGGCAAGCTATGGATGGGTCGTCTCCTCTTCTCATATATTCTACAGCTTGGTAGCTAATTTAAATAGAAGTGACAGCTTAATATAGGAGAACAGAATAAACACTAACTTTGCATTAGGCGAAGCTGACATCAGAAAATCTGAACTGACCATACTGTCACATTTCGCAGAATACCTATGAATGAACACGAGTCAGTAATTCCTGTCATAACCTTAACATCAGGGCATACAAGCCCTGACACAATGTCATCTCCTCAACTCATCCACCTTTAACTTCAGACGAGGACAACTACTTTTGACTTTGGCTGAATAACTGTCATTTTAGTAATAACAGAAGTCACAAATAGAGGTTACATTCGCATGGGTAAAGAAGCTACAGTCTCGGGAGAAAATACCGCACGTGTTCAGAACATCTAGCCGTAGTTATTAATGGAGCATAGTGGCCACACTTTCTACTTTCCTCAGTCTCTTCACTATGGTCTTGCATCAGTTTATTAAAGAGATCATAAGCATTCTCCTCTACGAAGCACAGTGAGGCACTTTTCATTCCCAAGATAATGGTGACTCAAGGGAACGATTACAAATGAACTGGCAACAACAACAACAACCCAAAATACCTTACACACAGTTTCACGAAAGTCTCTCATGCACATGAATTCGGAAAACACGCTACAAAAATCGACTATGTCCTGACACGACCTCTCTTCATCTCTTCTGAGCACCTCTAAATGGACAAAGGGAAGAAGTCACACCTAGGCAGGAAGCGTAGTAGTATGTCGCCATCTCCCGTGGCTGCGGCTGCCCCGGCCAAGTCATCAGCATAGGCCCCAGCTCCAGGTATTGGTGAGTCTCCTACACGACTTGGTGTGTAGAGAACAGAACAACTTAGAACAGGAAAGCAAGTGTTATCATGTTATGAACTGTTTTAAAATTAGGGGCTGTTTTCACAGCACCACTGGTTACTGCTTTAAGTACATTCCTCACTAGCTTGCATTTCTGCTTGTTTGTCAACTATAGTTTTCAAACAGAAATGTTAATTATATGACTTTCTTTCCAGATAGATGTGCAGTGTAACAAAACTGAATTATAGAAAAAGATTAAAATATTGTTTTTTCTATAGTAAAAAAGGGTTTTGGAGAGATGTTGGCTGGCAGAAAAAGAAATTTTAATTAAAATGGGAGGAATAAATTCTAGAGAAGTGCTACATTTAATAATAATACATTTTATATGTAACCACTAAGAGTATGTATTTTAAGAAGCATGTGAGATAATACATAAGTTAAATAGCTTGGTTCAATTATTTCACATATTTACATATATGAAAATAGCACATTTTACTCCAAAACTACATACTTTTACTTATCAATTAAAATTTTAAGCAAAAACCTGTCATCAGTTTGTTGTATCGAATCACACAGCTTTATAGTGACTGTTCTATTATTACACCTTCCTTAATGTCTGCAGTACTTGAATAGTTCTGAATTATTTCCTTACACTGCTTCCTATGTAAGGTGTCACACTTTTATCAGTTTCCCCTTTTAATAAACCTACTTAATGCCTTTGTTCTACTTAAAAACAAAACAACAACCCTACACACACACACACATACACACACACATACACACACACACACACACACTCTTCTGTTCCAGCCAGCAGAAGCCCTCAACCTGAAGTGTACTACTTGTATATACACTGGTTGCATTGGCCATGTGTTGCATGTGCTCCTTCAGTCTTCTGTGTTCAGGTCCCAGACTCCACTACCACTTGACAGACATCACTAACTACTCAGGTTCCAGACTAACCGGACACTCCTGAACTCTGAAGCCCTGGCTGTGATGCTTGCGTTGGCCAGTCCCACATGGCAACATGCTTCTTTCACACTCGTCTGTTAGATAAGGGTTTCAGTTTTGTATTCGGTACCCTATAGAAGCCCTCCCATACAGAGCTTTACATTTGATACATAGCTGAGATGAGAAGTCTGCTCTTGGGGAAACACTAACCCAGGTATTTTGAATTTTAAACCATTTGTAGATGTGCCCGCAGCGGTATGTCCCGTCTTATGGATTACAACCATGCCTAGAGGTTAAAAAAAAAAAAAAAGTAAGTACCCCAATGCTTCCCTTAAATATAGCCAAATAATGGATCAGCTGATGACTGCTGCAGTTTGAGGGACTGTTTCCCCTGTAATACATATCTTCACAAAGTGATGGAATTAGGAGGGGTCTATGGCGGGTGGGATGATAATTAGGGTAATCCTCCAATGAGTGATTAATACAAGAGACCCGAGAAAACTGATATGCCACCTATGAACCAGAAAATGGGACCTCAACAGACAGGGAACCTACTAGTGCCTACATCCTGAAATTTTCCATATCTACACTGTTGAAAATAAATTTCTGTTGTTTATAGTCCATCAAGTCTATGGTATTGTGCTTTTACATACCTATTGTATTAAGAAAATAAAGTATGTTCTCTCATTAATTACAGGTAGGATAAAAGGAAAAATTAAGAATATTGAAAACTGTATCAGTGATATTATACTATGTTAATGACTTGGTGTCATAGTGACATTGGCCAAAAAAAGCCAAGAAAAACAAAATAAAACAAAAAAACCCCAAACTTATACTCTTAGTCTTCAAATCTACCAGGTACTTCAGTACCTTTTCAAAGACAATTCTCCCCGCAAATCATTCATTTTGATTAAGAGAACTTCTCAATAATATAGCTTAGCAAAATTATTACAAGTCATTTTATATAATAGCAAATTATATAAAATAATCAAAGCATGAAATATTGACAATTTGATAATCTACAATTTAATAGTCAATGGATATTTGGTGTTTTGTGTAAGTAATTACAAAACTTTATATAGATGCTAAGGTAAAATTATATTTATATATTACAAACATGAATTTGTATGTGTTTAAGCTCACTATATATGTATATATGTGCATTTATATATAGTGAAAGAAAGATATACATAAGAAGGGGATAGTCACTTGGCATTTAAAATAATGAAAGCTAGCTAACTTCTGGTACATTAATAAAAATGAGTATGAGCTACAGAATATCATAACTAAAATAATTCATAAAATTGTATAAAAAGTGAATTACCAATAGTATCATGTCCATGGATATCCACTTCTTCATAGGCAGGATTGTCCTTCTCCGAGACATCAGGTGGTTTGTAGGGTCCACAGTATTTTGAAGGATCTGGTATAACTTTCTGTAAACAGGATTCAAGTGTTTTGATTAAAGGGGTGTTTTAAGAATTGGCAAATAACTGTGTAAAACTCCTAATCACTCATAGGCAACCAAAAAGACATCAGTAAATAAGAGCTCAAAAGTTCACTGAATCTTACATGAAAACTGAGGATTCTCAAAATTGCATACTATCAATGAGATAGATACAAGGCAAAGACCAAGCTAATGGATGCCCTCTTTATATACATACAATCCTTAGAATAATGGCAGACATCAGGTTTTTCTTTTAATTACATATTAACCACAACGGAATAAGTACCTAGCCTAACCTTTAGCTGTCACAATATGGTTCCCAGATGACAAATTCTGAGATTTCAAGAAAAATCTGCTTTAACAGAATGTTTACTTTCAATCTAAGTTCATAAGGTATCTAACTACAGACATATGGCATTGTAAGCTGTAACCTTCACACGTGAGAACTGCCCATTCAAGTTATAATAAAACAAAACAACGCTGCCCAAAATGTCATGTTGTAAGCATTTTATGAGTTTGTGTTTGGCACCACGCATCTTTGGCTCTCTTTAGCTTCCTGGAGCCTGCAAGCCATAGACTGACCCTTCTGGCTGCAGTCACTATATAAATGACAGTCTAAGACTCCTTTAAATATTAAATGTACAGGAATACACCAATACATTTAGGTTATCTGAACAGATTGGTATTAAGCTAAGAACTTAATACAGGTTGAGTACCCTATTTGAAAGGTTTAAGACTAAAAGTGTTTTGGATTTTTTTTTTTAGATTTTGAAATTTTTATATGTTCATGAGATATCTCATGAATAGGCAGATGTCTAAGCATAAAATTCACCTGTAATTTATGCCTATCTATATGATTAGTCTGAAGATTACAAATCTTGACTTTTAGTTGCACTTGTGATTTGATGGCAATTCATTGAATGAAGCAGCATGGCCTTTGGAACTTACACTATGACATTTGCTGGTGCTGAAAGCGTTTTGCACTTCAGATTTTTAGTTTAGGGATGCTCATTTTGCTCACACCTACAACATATGGTTACCATGTTTTATGAAGAATTAATTAATTAATTAATTAATTAATTTATTTTGTGCTAAATCCTGAAAACCTTGGTAATTAGGGTCTAAGGAAGAAACAGATTAGAGACTAAGAAATTCCAGAAAAGGAATCTGTGTGGCAAAATCTTCTGTGGAATAATCTTTGCACCCTGTAAACGTGTATTACTCCCATTGGTTAATTCAAAACAAAACAAAACAAAACAAAACAAAAAAACTAGCTTTTAGTTGGGCAGGAGGAATTGGGCGGGAGGAAGGGCAGAGTCACAGGAGATGCCAGCAGAGTTAGAGAAAGCACAATGGGTAGAATATGAGGTGGAAAGCCATGAGCCATGTGGCAGAGGGTAGATAAGATATATGGGTTAACTAAAAATGTAAGAGTTAGCTAGTAACAAGCCTGAGCTATCGGCTGTGCATTTACAATTAATAATAAGTCTTTGTGTGGTTATTTGGGAGTGTTGCCAGCATAGGAAAACTTGACCTACAAAAATCAAACTGACTTATGCTAAAATTCCTAGTAAAGAAAATTGGTCCCACGAATGACAAACCAGGGACCTATCTGTTTAAGTCTTCTAGTCAAAATATGGGCTATGTACTGCATATATTTCCCAAGGATAATGTCTAAGAAATACTTTAGGCTTTGGATCTTGTTTCATGAAAATGCAAGTGAAGCAATGTTGATGGTGTCTGTTCCATTCTTCACACACAGTAAACCTCACAAATTCCTGCCAGAGAGCAGGAGCCGTCAACCCCGGGGACCACTCAGCATTTCCAATTTGCTTTTTCCTGTTGAATTCACATACATACTCTCCAATAATTTGGCTGGCAATTCCGAGCAAGCCAGTCTGAATGAAGAGCTTTTGAGGCACTGGTAGATAAATCCTCATTGGTAAAACCCATACTTTCCGCAAACCTGGTGGCTAGAGATGAAAGGGAAAAAGTATAAGCCCATGCATTTCTAAGCAAAAGCATGCACTACAGGCATTCTGGGTCAGCTATCTCTCACCTGGGGTACGGAAAGACATCTGAGGAGGGTGGAACACGAGCTTTTAAAGGAGGTTTTGGACGTAAGTAGTTTTAAGGGAGTCATTTCTGGATTTCAGTTTCCCTGTATCTTTTCTATCACTGATCTGTTGAAGACTTTTGGGCCGCGTGCACATTTCCGTTGCTGCCTTACTTCCACCATCTCCCAGCCCTACTCTGCAGCTCACCCCTCTCATCTATAAAGTTCTATTGCTCTAACTAGAGGAAAAAGAACCAAACAGACAAATGAATTCCGTAGACCAAAACACATCCTTCTCAGAGAGTCTGCAATCCTATTTCAAGCCTATTAAGGTTGCTTCATAAATATATTTATCATTAATATATTTTTTATTATAGTCTACTTTATGACCTTCTGCAATGGACCTTGGAAAGGACTCAAGGGGCAGTGTAACAGGAGTCGTCTTTGGGGCACTGCTGTCTGTCATAAGCAGTTCTTCCCTGGGTCTCAGACCTGTAGGAAGACAACTAACTGAGAGTGACCCTGTTTCAAGAGAAATCCCTCATTGACAGATAATAACGTACTGTTTAAAATGCAGTCTTAAAGATAAAGCAGGATTTAGAAGGAACCTATCCAGCTAACCAGACATGAAATAAAACCGTTGTAATTTTAACTTGGATCTCCTTTGATCTCTACTTCACAGTGAGTTCTACTTTTTTTTTTAACAGAGTATAGACAAAAAGACTAGAACACAATTTCAGTAGGTTTAAAAATACCTGACTCCCCTACTAAAAGCGTGTGTGTTGTATGCTCCAGGACTTTCCGTGCCACTCCAATTGCATTTTTAATTCTTCGGAGGCCTCCTACTGCTCCCACATCCATAGCCGCGCTGGAAGGCAACGACACGGGAAGATTTACGGAAGGCATTTTCTGTTGGTACTTGAACAGAAAAATTGCATTTCTCTAAGCAGCAATATGTTGAAGGCTAAACTCCATCTTACCACAGAAGTGAAAACAACCCGTAAAGTTCATGGATTCCCACAGACAAAATTAAAGAACAGCAAGTCAATTTACTGAATATCTCAACAGCTTATTTTAAACGCGGCTTTTAAAAGGGGCCTTCAGGCTTCAGGTTACTGAAGCCACAGCAGGTACAGACGGCAGGTAAACCACTGGGTCAGAGGCACAGCTTTGTATTCTGGGCTTCTCATCAGTAGAAGCGACTTAACCACTTCCTTTGCCGTGACGATCTAATATCAGGAGGACCTTTAGACTTTGCTTTCTTATTCTTGTTAACTCTTTGTGTTTAGAAAAGACAAGCACCCTCAACGTGGCGTGGCCACACTAATGCAACCTCGCACCTCGTTCTCAGAAGACCGCAATCCTGAATATAAGCCAACCTGTCAGGAAAGCACAGATACACGCCCTGCAGAGCGTTCTTACCCATCCATGATCATGGCATCCAGGGTGGTCTCCCCAAGTTCATCGGGACTTCCTCCATAGCCTACTGTACCGTCGCACTGCTCCCTCTCACACACGGCACAGCCATTCTCAACTGCATCCAGGGCAGAACCTCCAGACGCTAATGTCCGCCATGCTGTGAAATTCCAATAGGGCTTATTTATAGGCACATATTTTTCAACGTGAAAGACAACAGGCCAAGAACATTTTGGAAGGCCTATTTAAGCTTTTTTTTTTCCTTTAACATTTATACCATGAAGCCGAGATCTTAAATTATTTTTATCAAATCGTACAAAAGTGCTGCAAGGAACTAAAAATGATACAGACAAAATTATATCACTAGTTACTATTAAAAAGTCAAAGACCTCTGCTCTTAGCAGAAAGTGAATATCTCACAACCTTATCAGTGTTTCTTCTCTGTAACAAATTCATCATCTTAAACTGGGCGGTGGTGGGGCACGCCTTTAATTCCAGGACTCGGGAGGCACAGGCAGGAAGGCAGATCTCTGTGAGTTCAAGGCCAGCCTGGTCTACAAGAGCTAGAAACCCTGTCTCGAAAATAAATAAATAAAAAAACCCCAAACAAACAAACAAACAAAAAAACCGTCATCTTTAAGAGGGATAACTGAAATTCTTTGGAGACAGTAGAACTGAACAGCATTTTCAACTACAGCCTTAACATTTCTTGATTACTTTGCTTTGTGAGATTGGGTCTTGCTATTAGATGAAGCCCAACTGAAAATCCACGCATAGCCAATGCATGTCTAGAAGTCTGAATTTCCTGCCACAGCTTCCGAGAAGCTGGGGTGACAGCTGTGTGTCACACATTAGATTTTTAAACTATGCATAACTAACTTGATAGCACTTGTGACAGCAAGTCTCAACAAAATATCACAACAGCAAATGACGTCATGTGGGCGAATAAATCTCATCTTCATGCAGCTTCTGAGATATTTTAATTATAATTCTCGTTTTCAAGAGAAATGGATAGATGTGATTCAAGGCCACACAGTGTGTTTCAGAGGTTGCCCAGTTTTGAAAGCAGACACTTTCTCTAAGGTGGCCACATTTTTACGGTGTTCTGTGGACATTCACGTAGAGTGGGTATGTCTTGAAAGGGGAGCCACTTCACTTGTAAGTCTTTGAAGGTTTTTTTTTTTTTAATAAGTGGCAGCTAGCACATGATGTTGGACTTCCTTTGTTTATTACTAATTTGTTTATTATTGTTGTTGGGGGGGGTCTCTTTTTTAGTCTGATTTTTCATTCTCTCTGATTCCTATGCATCCCCCACAACATAAAAATCCTCCTACACTGAATTCTGTAACCAATTGTGCCCACAGACATTTAATGTGATAGCAGTCTCAAATGTGATAGGATTGTGGGCTGTCAGGTACAGACAGCCCCAAGAAACTTAAGGATAATTTTAATGTATAACCAAGGGTGGAAGCTATCCATCAGTCTCAGTGACAAGGAAAACATGGCAAGCATGGATCAAATATCTACGTGTCCAGAGGAAGCTGTCAATTGTTTCCTAAACTGGAACCCAGAGAGTACTGGAGACACAGAAAGCATTCACAAGAAGTGGCGTGTGGGAGACAGAACACATTATGGCAAAAGACTGAATGCCACAAAAAGTAAGGCAGGTGACACTTGCAGAATAAGGCAGAAAGGCCTGAGGGTCACAGGTCAGTTAACATGGTGCTGGGAGCAATAAATATATCCGAACCTAAGATGCAGCAGTGGCAGGGAGGATGGAGAAAGGGTCAGGTGCCAAAGAGATGGAGGAAGAAGACTGGAAGGAGGCCCGGGTTCTGCAGCTGGCTCCCTCGCCCCTACGTAACTTTATTAGCAGGGCCGAGCGCAGCTTCCCGCAGAGGAGCCCGCACAGCGCGGCCACCCACCCCGGGCCGCCGCTCCGCACCTGCAGCCGTTGCATTCTTAAAAGGCCAAGTGTTGAGGACCAGAGGCAGGGGGCTGGAGTCCTGCGCCAGGGCGATGCCCAGCACCAACGGAAGGAGACGCAAAGGCAGATTCGACTTCCGCGCCATAGCAGAACGCCCAGCGGAGCAGCGCGAGAAAAGTCCCAGCCAGCCGCGCGCCCAGCGGGCAAGCACGAGAAAGGTCTCGGCCAGCTGAGGCTCTAAACTCGTGATTCTCTTTGGTCTCCTCCTAACTCCCGCAACTCTCGCGAGATGACGCATTCTGCTGGCCCCTGGAGGGAGGCTTTTTTTTTTTTTTTGAAAGTCTGGTGCTGTGTTCTGTACTGCCCAGCTCTGTGGAGCTTTATTTATTTATTGTTTGTTTGTTTGTTTGTTTTTTGTTTCTTTTTGTGCTGATGTGCTGATATATATACACTTTTAGTACTTTACTAAAGTATAAAGTATACTGCTTAGCTCGCATTTAAAGGTATTTTGACCTCTTTGAAAATGAATATGAAATAATGCCACCCTGAATGACACGACACGAACTTCAGATAACTGATAGATACTATTTGACTTCTACATATTTGCCGACTTAGATGCACATTAACTGTTGAAAATCAGACCTAATTCATTTTCTGGACGTCCTCAGAAATTGAAAATGATTCTGAATACAGGTGCCGTGTTTTTGCTTAGGACCAGATTCGTTCGAGGTGTGTTTGACACATACCTTCCATCATTTTTTTTTTGTCATAGCCGTTTGTAGGACGTCCTTTCGATACAAATCCCTGAGCTGGAAGGAAAGGACATGCTGGGCAAATAGAAACATAGCTTTTACCTGGCCCACTGGAGTGCAGACTGCTCGCCTCCAGCCAAGAAGGCTAACTCCATTCTTTTCAGAAGGTATTTTATTTTATCTTCATGCCTGGCACCATTAAGTACTAAATAAATGTTTGAATTAAAGGAGAAATGGGAACCTTACATGCGTGGTACCGGCTGCTCCTTTTGATAATTCAGTTGGTGCGCAGATGTGTGAGCACGGACCCGTAATCCCACTGGGGCTCTGGGATGCTTGTCCATGTAGCTGAAGGAAGACATAATTTTAAAGAGCATCTATAAATCTATCCAGACTGGTAAAATATGAACTACATGGGGGTTGTGAGGCTTAGAAAATCTTCAAGGTTCTTGTTGAATGGAAACTGAATCTGCAATTTAAACAGCATAAGATAGCCTAGAATTATCCCCAGGCAGGAAAGTGCTATTAAAAAGTTAGGTGTAATTAAAAAGAAACGACACATGATCTTTCAATGGGGTTTGGGAGGAGGCCCAAACTACCTGTGCTGTGCTAATGAGCGTAAAGCTCATGCTAGGTGAGATGGGAAAGACGGATGAAACGGAATAAGAAAGCAAGGAAAACACTTATTGTCTTCGGAATTAATTTCCCGTAGCACCTGGGTTGTTATTTAGAAGTTCAAAGAACTGAGACATGCCTTCAGAAATTATAAAATATAATACATGGAAAATTGATCTCAGTTCCTGCACCTCGTGCTTTTGGTGATAAAATTCCTTCAGCTGAAAGAACCCAGACTCTTACAGGGGCAACACAGCAAGACAGACAAATTTAAGGGAACAAGAGAAGGGGGAAAACCCCCCTCCTGGGATCTTATTTGCCCTTTCTGCTGAGAGTCAAGAAGCTTCAACAAAACTGATAAAGAGATTTTATTTTCTGTAGAGATTTGTATTTTGGTAAGGACAGCTCAAACAAGAATGTTGAAAATGACAAACAGTCTTTACCTAGACTGGGTGTAACCTTGGATTTTACAGTATTAACCCCCCTAGCATGTCCTTAGATGGACAAATTTCTGAGGTTGAAGGAAACTTTATTTAAATTTTAAGTCTTTCTACATTGTAAGACCTTGTAAATTATATCCATTAAGGAATGTAACTTAGCCATATGAGCGGGCATGCACACACACACTCAAATATACACACACACTCACACATACACACACACACATATACTCACACATTCATTGTAAAAAAACACTCAAGCACAATTCTGCTGAGAGAAACCTTTACCGTGTTTTGGAATTGCACACCATCATTAATAATCTCACTGACTTGGCTCAGGCTGACACATTCTCAAATTCACTTCCTAGACCTATTCAAGATTTGGGGTAACACTCGGTTGGAAGGAAACTCCAGATTTTGGATAGTAAGCTGTATTAGGTTGTGCCTGCCTTCGTCCCACTCCTGACAGCTCCTCACACTGTGTCTACTCTTTTCTTCAAATTCTCTACTTACTTGAAATAAAAGTCTTGTTTAAGAAATTCACCTGGAAAACCAGGTAGTGGTAGCGCACGCTTTAAATTCCGGCACTCGATTGACGGATCTCTGTGAGTTCAAGTCCAGCCTGGTCTACGAGGGTGAGTTTCAGGACAGGCTCCAAAACTACAGAGAAACCTTGTTTCAAAAAAAGAAAGAAAAAAAGAAATTCACCTGGTCTTATGGTTTGACCAAAAAAAGGGGGGGGATTTGCCAAATTATATTATCATATTATAATAGGAATATTTAAAAGTCTCAATTCTGTGGATGTTTGCTCTTAAAATAATATGTAGTCTCAAAAGAACCCTCTTTGGTGGCTTTGCAGTGGCTACTGTAGTGCTCCTCAGTCATTGCAGTGCTCAGCCATTACAGTGCTCAGTCATTGCAGT